ACTTGTAATATCAAATTTACTCGATTTGGTCATTTGAAAAATCCGAGAAAAAGTTGCGCGAACCAACCACCCCCCTCGCACCAATTTTTCACCAATGCATAATAACATAAATAATACTAGACTCGCAGTCCGTGAGAATCCAAATACCTTATCTGTCTATATCTATTTACGATTTGAAAAAGCATGGGACGCAGAGTGCAGTGGTGAACTGGCTCGTTGAGAACAATGTAAGCAATGAAATCAAGTCATTGCGTAGCCGTTGGCACGTTGAGGAGATCGCGGTAACTTCGTAAAACGTCCTTCTCGTCAAATCCTTTACATCGCGTGTATACTTTCAAAGGTGATATTTTGATTGACGATAGGCGAATCTAATGTCCACAGCTGATAAGCCACCGCCAAGTCAGCGATACGTACCACGCGAGTCATGTAACAATTATTGGTATGGTCGTGCAACACCTTTCGACACTCCATTACTCCAGAGTCCTATGTACTCTAATCTGAAAATTCATTGATTATCGATTGCACGGAGATAAGGAATTTTGTCCGTGCAATTCCCAATGCGAGAATAACTAATTTTGTATAATTATATAATGGCGATTTTGAAGCGATTGTATGTAATTATTTAGCATAGCCAGGGTTTATATTTGTCATAATTCATTTGCACTTGAAAGATTTTCATTCGCAATTTGTGAGATTAATTTATAACTTGCGTATTATTAATGCAAATTAAGCCGTAGAATTTGACGTAGGACGGAGAATAGTTTTCAAAGTTTTCATGGAACGCTAATTGCCAAGTGCTCAAAACATTGCTTGATTATTATATATTGGCGCATGTTCGTTAAGCATTTTTATTCTTTTATTTGCCATTCGATTGAAATGATGAAAATAGATTCCCTCGTTAAATATTTACCGACATTTAATTTAGATATTTCTTAACAGACAGCACAATTCAATATCTAACCTTATGGTAATTGTAGATCTTCCGCTCATCTCGCTTGAATAAGAAAAATTATTTAAACGGGGCATTCAAAAGTTACAGCTAGCGAAGAAAATCGTTAATTACTTATTGTTATTGGTGTAAGTATATATGGAGGGAAGAAGGAAAAAGTTAAAATGTAAGACAATTGATTGACTTTGAAATATTCAAAGGGTCATACGTGATAAGCATGCAATGCCTGATGCATTCATTTTCTTGACATACGCGGAGCTTGGCTTGCTTGGAAAATAGTTTATACGTTTTCTTTAAATTCTCCCAACTTATGCATAAACTTGACATTGATTTAAAAAAAAATATCCAAATAGATAAAATTTATGATAAAATGATTATATCTATTTAATTTTATTCGTGAATTATAATAGAAAGTGAATCATTGGGATTGAGTATTTACTTAAGGTAGTTTTATAACAAACAAAACAAAAAACAAAAACAAAAAAAAAAAACAAAAAAAAAAAAATAAAGAAAATAACAAAAAAAAAACTAGCTAGGCAATCAATTTATATATTTAACTTTGCTCGTAAAATTTTGAATCATTTTTTCTAATTGTTTTTAACAATTAGATATACGAGAATTTCTTAAAAATTTCACTTTACAATAATTGATGCTTTAAAACTAAAGTTGTATCAATTTTGTAAAAGTCATGATATCTCATCTTCTTCTCTAAATATTCAAAATTTCTTTCACATCACATGTATGAAACTATTATAGCGTATATTATTATATTTTTAGCTCAAGATTTTCGCACATTAAATATTACATGGCAAAAGCTCTCTTATTTTCCAATTCTCTAACACTCTAATACCACTCTACTACTACGTTACTTCATCAAATTTACATTTTGAACGCACAATTACTCTAGCAATATTCGAATATTTATTTTATTTATTATCATTTGTTTTCATTTTTATTTTATCTATTTTTAATCTTAATTGCATTGAATGTACGCACAGACTAAAAATAATCGTTAGACAAAGATTTATCGTTCGATACTAATTAACTCCAGTGTCACAAACATTAACATTTGAAGCAAATCTATTTAACATCGTGCTTTCATAGACGCAACTCTGTCATAATAATCGACAACCGATAAAAAGTATTTCATATAGTGTCGTAAACGAGTCACAAGCGACAACAAATAATCTTAATGAATAAATATCTTGTACAATTGGAATTTTCAATGTAATAACCAGAAGATCGCGTGCACACAGACTTCTTCGTCAAAGTGCAGTGGAGAGTAGACGGCATCAATTACGAGCGCAATTGTATGAAATTCTTCACGTACTTCAGCGCTCTATTAACAAAACTATTTTTAATAGAGTGGGACAGTGTTTGGTCGTATTCCGGGAGTTGGAATACAACAAACAAATGGGTGCGGCGTATAGCAGCATTCCATGGCCGAAACGTCAATCAATTAATCTAACATAAGCCTTTCGTTGCAAGAGACATGCTGTTGTTTCAGACAAGTTTCAGTCTGAGGCAAACAATCGAATACTTATGGGGTGCTCTTCTCCCCCAGCATACCCAGAATTCAATCTACTACTCGGTAGTAAAAATATTTATTTTTCCTCCATCAGTCTCGGTTCCTTCATCTCAATGTATATCGATGTGCGAATTGACGATTACAAGCAAATTAATCATCTCTTCTGTCTTCACGCTGTACATTAATCTCCATTAAAATTTTACAACTTTGTTGAGAAAATGTAAAATAGAAATTTTCTTTTCATTTACCATGTCGTAAAAATTTTAAGCGGGAAATTTAATATTTACGCATTTACATCTACGTTACTTTTCCAACGAATTTCCTCAATTTACAACAGTTTTATTATCATCTCGAATTATTACCGTAAATTTTTAAACCTTATTAAATAAATTCAAAGTTTCGTTTCTTTTATGCGTAAGGTAAAATTTTATACATTATGAATAGTAAAAATTTAACAATCGCACGATTCCTGAATTTTCTTTCCACGAAAGAAGAATTTCTTCAAAGAGGAAATTGCGAAAAATGTATTTTCTTAATTAAATTTAATTCATAAATTATAATTGCTTTTGAAGATTTTCTAATTTATTTCTACCAATATCACAATAAAGTTTATAATTTATTTTTCTTTATAATTTAATTTACTTTTAATTAAATATTTGATGACTTATCAAAAAAAAAAAAAAAAAAAAAACTCGAAGCTCTTAAGTATAATTTAATTAAAAAATATTTAATATATAAAAGAAAGAAAATATGTAATATAAATAAGAGAAACTATAAATTAATCTTATAAAGTTTTTTTCTTTTTTCTTTTTTTTTTTTTAAATTTGTTTAATATAGATCGATTAATATAACAATCACCTGAAGATAATAAATATACGAAAAATTCCTATTTTTAAACAAGGTATTTAAATATACAAAATTTGACTACATATCTGATTTCTACATACACTGCCAATGGCATTGACACTATTTTTTTTAAACAACCTCATCTTTCTTTCTCTCTCATTCGAGCTTGCGGTTTCTGCTTCCATTTCAATCGTTGTCTCTCTCTCTCTCTCTCTCTCTCTCTCTCTCTCGCTCTCTATTACTTCGTTCCGCCCCTTGACACCCACCCACCCTATTGCTCTCTCTCTCTCTCTCTCTCTCTCTCTCTCTATATATATATATATATATATATATATATATATATCTATCCCTATGCATATGCATCTTCTCTCTTGCTCCTTAGCCATCTAACCGTGCTCTCTCTCTCACTCGATTTATTTGCGTCAAAAAGAGTACAGGTAATTATAGAATCATCTTACTTTGCAGACAAGGATGCTAGAGCGTACCTGTCAAGGCCAAGAGAACCACGTCAATCAGTAGGAGGTCAAAATGCGATCGGTCATCTGAAACGCGTATCGCGCGCTGCGACCAAGACGACGGCAGCCACGTAAGTGTGTGGTAGCCGATAAAAAAAGTGATCGGAGAAGTGCAGTGGAGATAACCTCGTAAAGGCGGAGAGTCGAGAGTTGGGCAGCTTTTTTTGCTCTTTGGAGCAAGGTGAGTCAGCCAGGCGGTTGAGCGACTATAATTTCAGTAATTGTTTAGGCCGTTGTAAGTGGCTTCGAGTTAAAAGTCAAATAATTTTGGATTCACGTGCGGGGATGGGAGAGGGCGTGAGGAGGCTGAGTCATGCAAATCGCCGTGTCGATGTTTGCAATTTGGACAGGCGCGTATGTATGGAATTTGAAAATTTTACCGCAACGTGTGAAAAGGGACAGAGCATAACGTGACTTTTCAAGTTAATGGAACAAAAGAACGTTTAGGCTAGACGAGCATATTCGCTTTTATTAAGATTATTAATAAAATCGCTTTGGCTTTGTTCGCTGGCAATTAGAACGACGAGAGCCGACCGACCGACCGACCGACCGACCGATAACGACAATAACAACAACAACAACAACAAAAACATTAATAACAATAATAATTGCTACAAATGTTATTTTCATAAACATAATGAATTTTGTATATCTATCGCTGTTATAAACTTCATTTTCTATAAAAGTCGAAAGACGCATAAGTGATATTTTCATACGAGAAAGCGCGTAATTTTTCATCAATGAAAGAACGAGAGAAACCTTCATTATTTTTTTTTTATTGTCTCTCTCATTATCGTTATTGTTACTGCTATTATTATTATTATTATATTATAAGAAATTTACAGATTTGCGAAAGATTTACAATTCGTCGAGAGTAGATTATTGGTAATTATCTGCCCTCCTTGCTCGTTGTTTATACTAATATTTTTCGTAAATGTCTAACGGCATTATCGACGCGCGATCGTATAACTGACATTGACAAACTCGTATAATGACACGACACTGTAAGCTAATTTCCAGCCAAATTAAATGAACGTTAACTAGCGTTTACGTTGCGCGACAACGTTGTTTACATAGCCTACAGGTTTATACAAGAGTGCTTATGAATGTTTCAGTGAACGTCGGTGGGATCAAAGGCGCTCGCAGCATCTGAAATAATAAGGAAACAAGTCCGAAAGCAATAAAGCAAAAGGAAAAGCCATAACACAACGACAAAATGCCGAACACGGATAACGACCTTGAGGAGGTCATGTCGCACCTCGGCGAATTTGGCAGATACCAGGCATGGCAGTTTTCACTTCACGTGATTGGTGCTTTGACAGCCGGCCTTCACATGCTAACTCTCGTCACCGTCGCAGCCGTGCCCCCCTACACTTGCAACGTACCAAACTTTAATAATACATTTTTTCGTAATTCCACGCTCTTGCCACGCGCCATCGACAGCTGCCATTATGTCGACATCAAAAATCAGACCCACGCATGCACCTCTTGGACGTACGATACAACGTATTTTCAATCGTCGCGAGCCATCGAATGGAACTTTGTCTGCTCGCGACGCTGGATGGGTGCCATCGCCCAATCGGCCTACATGTTCGGAGTATTTGCAGGCGCTGTCACTTTAGGCAGTATGGCCGATAAATACGGCCGTAAGATTATATTTTATGTGTCCTCGGTAGCCCAACTCATCCTCGGCGTATCCGTAGCCTTTATTCCCGAATATTATACCTTCCTTGTCATTAGATTTCTTTACGGGATCTTCGGCTCGGCAGGCGCTTACATTACCGGTTTCGTATTGTCCATGGAGCTCGTCGGCGCCTCCAAGAGGACTGTCTATGGATTAATGTTTCAATTGGCATTCGCGACCGGCTTTATGTTGGTCGCGGCATGGGGAGCCATCGTAAAGGATAGGTTCTGGTTGCAAATCGTCTATGGTATGCACAGTGCCTTCCTTTTAGGTCACTGGTGGCTCATGGACGAGTCGCCCAGGTGGCTTTGGGCACAAGGCCGCATCGCCGAGGCTCTTAAGATCGTCCAGAAGGCATTGCGCATGAATAAGAGTCCGGTTATACTCGACGTTCAAAAGTACACCTCCAAAGGCAAGGTAGAAGTGATCAACGAGGACAAGTCGTTCGGTGCAACCGATCTCCTCAAAACGCCGAACCTACGAAAAAAGACACTCAACGTCTGCCTCAATTGGTTCGCAAACTCCATTGTTTACTATGGATTATCCCTTAATACGGGTAATCTCGTCGGCAATCCTTATCTCATGATGTTCCTCAGTGGATTAGTCGAGGTTCCAAGTTACATCTTCATCTGCTTCGTCATGGACCGCACCGGTCGACGAAGCCTCATTAGTGCATTAATGTTAATTGGTGGTTTATGCTGCATCATCGCCACTTTCATTCCCCGAAACATCGCGGCTGGCGCGGCCATCACCGTTACCGTCGTTTTATTTGGCAAGGCCTGCATAGCCGGATCCTTTGCCATAATTTACAACTACACGGCCGAACTCTTCCCCACCGTATTACGCAACACGGCATTGGGCGTCGGTTCCATGTGTGCTCGGCTCAGTGGCGCCCTCACCCCCATGATTATGCTGTTGGATTCATTTAATCCTAAGGTGCCGCCGACAGTGTTTGGATTTATAGCGCTGCTCTCGGGCTTTCTGTCGCTCTATCTGCCAGAGACGGTCAATCAACCGATGCCAGAGACTCTAGAGGATGGCGAAAACTTTGGAAAAGGCGACACGTGCTTCACCACCTGCTGCGGCAGCGGGTCCAAGAACAAGCGGCCTTACGAGGTTGCCCTTCAAAAGGTCGACGAACGCGAACACGACAAGAATTACCGAAGATCATAAAGGAACGATCATTTTTATTTCCTTAGTCTCTTATTCGTTATCAAAGGATAATTAATTATACACACACACACACACACACACACACACACACACACACACGCACACGCACGCACGCACGCACGCACGCACGCATATATATATATATATATATATATATAATTATTTTCTTCGTAATTTATATATATAATTGGAACTATTTGCGACGTAGAAATTGGAATGAAACAATGAAAAATACATAAACAAATATGGGATTCATATGGTTGCAATCGTATATTACAAAAAAAAAAAAATTATTTATTGATAAATGAACCGAATGACAAAGTTATTATCGATACGATGAACGTAAGGTGGTAATTCAAATTGCATTAGCCACGAGACGTTGAATTGTGTAAATTCGTGTTGAATAAATTTCAAAATTGACATTGTCTTTCGAAACGAACATCCAGTTGTCATGAAAATCAATACAATTAATATCTCCATTTCTATAATATAATTTACATTTCATTCAATTAATAAATTCACATAGCGCTAACATTATTTTTAAATCCCATATTTAATCAAATTACGTGAATACTTAGATAGATAACTAAAAATTACTGTCTAAATGCTGAAAATATCAATCGCACTCCTACATTTACGGCTAAATACGAAAAATGTCAAATAAAACTCCCGTAATACATATATGCATAATTGTTTTTCACATAATTTTTGTAATATTCTACGAGATAATGAATTCTATTATAGTAATGACTTATTATTAAGGTAATCGAAATGACTCTCTATAAAATCTAAACACATATCTATCTATACACGTAGGCACACTATTCTTGTAAACTAGTGCTTTTATTAATATAATTAGGCATAATCTAAAATATTTTTGAATAATAATATTTTTATATTTATAAATAGCTAAGAGCTAAATTTTTTTTATTAATATCTATTGAATTATCGGTTGTAAACTTTTCATGATTTCAATAAATTAATGTTACTCAATAAATAATAAAGCTTCTTACGCAGTTCTTTTTTGTAATTAAAATTTGTTTTATGCAAAAATTTAGTTTTTAATCAAGATAAATATAAAACAATATAGTGGTAAATCTAAGACTAAGGACTACAAGCGTAAAATGAAGTTTTTAATACTCAAGAAAAGTCTCGTGTATTATATTACACGTCGTTTCATTGTTGGTAAAAAAAAAAAAATTATTCGACTAAATTAGTGCCGAATCATTATATATAAATATAAATACTTATTCAGAAATTTCTTTAGTACGAGAAAAACTGACAATTTATTTTTAAGTGCATAATTTAATCTATATAATGAAATGAATTTAAAATGAATTTTAAATGATGCTCATATCTTCAAATAATAATGAAAGTTAATAAAATTTCCTACAAATTTAAAATAATTCAATATTGTAGAAAAATTTTAAAGTATTTCTTCTTTAATGAAGGAAAATATATTTTATATATCGTATTAGAAATGTAAGTTTATTAAACTGTTGTAAAAAGTAGAAAAGATACATTGTAAAATGATTATTTTTTATCAAAATACTTTCATGAATAAATATTTTTTAATTATGAAATCCGTAATGCCAAAATTTTATAGTAATTTTTATTTTTATTATAGAATAGATTTCTAATTATTTATATGTATAATATATAAGCATCAAATTGTATCGTTTGCCCATTATATAACATCTATATAAACGTGCGTGCACACATGCGCGCGCATCCATTCGCAAAACACAAACGCGCACACGGGCGCGCGTATGCAATATGCAAATAAATTGAAATTTCATTAAAAGCCCCTTACATTAATAGGAATATCCAAAACGTTTAGACATTAAAATAACGTAACAATGGGACGTTTATCTCAGACGTGCAATTCAATATTAAACATTTTCCCATTCATTGCGTGTTATCGAAGAAAAAACTTATTCATATAGAAATCTTAAAATAGTTTATCAACTTATGCACAAATTTATATATAATTATTTAAATAATTTTTAATGTTTCTTTTAGAATCAAAGTTATAAGAGAAACTTCTAGAAAGATATTTTATTTATTAGAGATCACTTCGTATACAGAAATATGTTATAAATTTTTATTAGAAAATTAGATATTATAAAGAATAATGTTTATTACATATTTTATTCATTGTAAATATCCGTGTCTTTTGATTAATTACTTTTATTGGACATGATGTGTTTTTTTATAATAAGAACTAAATCACGCGCACTCGGTTTGAATGTTAATGAATTTATAACGAGCTCTATGATAATATATAATTTTTATGAAATCGTAATATCATAAGTTGTAGAAAAAATGCATCAATTACAATTTACAGTTACCGGTACTGTTACAGCCTTCGGATGCTGCATTTAGCATTCGTATTCACTATTTCATAGAGAATATTTATGCTTACCATCTCGTTAATACTTAATTTTCAAAATATAATTTAATATATTAAAAATAGCTTGATACATATTTAATAAAAATATTCAAAAAATATGCAGGTAATATGGTTATATTTAATTTTAATAATGTAATATTTGATTTTCACTATCAAAGCTTCGTGTTATTATATAAAAATTAAATAATTTATATTAGAAAGTATTTATTTTATTATAATAAATATTTCTTTTTATAACCGATATCATTGAATTATAGTTCATATCTTATCGAGTTTTTTCAAACAACAAATTAATTTGCTATTAAATTTTTTAATATCAGAATACTCATATTTCACTAGCTATCTTTAATGAAATCAGTACTATGCAAGTATATGACCTAATCATAGATGTAAATGAACTGTAAATTACATCTGGTGATTGAAAATATTAAATTTCTTCAAAAGATTATGATTTAAAATATATGAATGACGATTAAAAGCAAACATTACAATGAAATTAATATCCAAGTAAAAATTTAATGTAAACATAATATTGCCTAGTAGATTAAAATTGTAATAATTCACTTAGAAGTTAAAATTTAATATATTGTTGCTATATCTTTCATACAAATATAATTTTTTATTTTAATTTAATAAATACAAATTATTTATATTAGGGATATTATAAAATCTTTGCATTAAATTGTTTACATTCGTATAAGATTATGACAATTTTCCATTATATATACTTTTGACGGATCTTGAAAAATATGAAAAACATTGATGTAAATAAATAAATTTATCTTACCTATAACAATGCAAATTTTATAAATCAATAAGTATATATTCATATATGTCAAAAAATATAACAATATATATATATATATATATATATTTATGTATATAAATCTGTATGTGTATATAATTACTTGAATTAAATTGAAGTTTGTGTTTCAATTTTAATATAACTAAACTATCTATCAGTGCATTAAAAATTTAAAGTTAATCGTATTGCTAAACTGTTAGATGTTTTTAGTGATCGTGAATGAGTTAGGATATCTACATTACCAACTGCAGATGCATTAATTGAGACAATTAAAACTTTTAAATAAAGAATACTATTTTATACTTGAAAACAAAATGTTCTTGTAATCACATAATACACTATTAATAATAAATTGAAAATAAAATTTTCATACTATTAAATCGAGCTATTTAAGCAAAATAAAAATCAACATTAATGAAGATACCAGAATTTCTTATATAATTTATATATTTTGTATATTAACTTAACAACAATAGAAATATATACAGGTGCGTATATTTAGTAAAGTAATTGAAATTAAAGTTTTTCTTTAGTGACTGTAAGGGTAGGTGAATATTTGCGTGTATGCATCCGCGTTAATAATTATAAATATATAAATTATAATAATTTAAATTCGGTTATTAAAAAAAGATTGTTATAATATTAAGTTCAAGATTTAATTATAGAATGTACTATTAATTGATATTTTGGCTGAGTAAATTTGTAGCTAATTCTATATGCATTTAAATTTAAAAGAAACTATCACTATAAGTATAAATTTAAAGTACATTATTATTATTCACTAGCTTGTAGATTGCACTTTTTATTTATCTATTATTAAAAACAAAAAAGGTTGAACTAATTTCCAAGTTAAAGATAACTTTAAAAAAAAAATAAAGAAAGTAGGATTACGACACACGCAATATGCATAATATATATATATATATATATATATATATATATATGTATTGAGATTCGTGTAAGTTTTACTTACTAAAGTCTGTTTCTTATCTACTGATTTAATACATCTAGTCGCACACATGTTTCAAACAAAGTTTCTGTCAATAATTTTATACTTTCAAAAGTTATTTAATCTAGTAATAATTATAATTATCAAATGTAAGAAGTAAAACTTAATACTTTTATATAACAGATAACAGAATACTTTTAATTTAATTTAAGGAATTAAAGTTTAAATTTTATTAGAAATTATTTTTAACGCATTTAGAGAAAAAATATATCTTGCATAATTTATTTATTGATTAGAAAAAAAAACGTTAAGACTAAATGTTGATCTGAGAAATTTTATACTAATAAATTCAAAATAAAGAAATGAAAGTAAGACATTACGATTATCAAATCAATGAAATAAGGAAGTATATTAAACAAATATTTATTTATATATTATTTAATAAATTACGATTTTCAATCAATACGTTAAAGTCATGAATTGAAATTCATTCGTTGCTTTAATAATAAATTATTTATTTAAATAAGATAAGTAAGAAAAATTTTTATCGCAATTTTCAACTGCTGTAATAAAAATGACCAATCTCATTTGAATTATAAACTAACTTTTGCATTAATTTGTTGTATCTAGGATTAGTTTGAGATATCGTAAATTTTATATAAAATTAATTTCACACTTTATTTATTATATTTCATACTGTTGCAAAATTTTCAATTATTTTGATTAATTTTTGTATTATATTTTTCTAACATAAAAAGTCTCACGTAGGAGAAATTTTTTCTACATTTTATGTGGCAATTAAATATTTCAATATATAAATATTCTATGAAATAAACAGACATAAAATCAGAAGTATTTTTATTTTCATAGATTATTTATATGAATGACTGACTGTACATTG